ATATTTTTTTTCAAAATCAGACATAAAAATGAAGAGAACCTTAAAAGGTTTCTTATGTTGATGTTGGCAAAAGATATTGTTTTTCAACTCCAAATTAAATTTAAGATTTCCAGGAAAACCAATGGAAGTGAACAGATTTCACCATAAAGCTACTCAATAGGAATCTTGCGAGAAGGAGAAACTAGGTTTTCATGAGCAAATAAGTGGCTTCTGTAAAATCAAATTTACTGTTAGTAAGGATTATATCCTGCTGTCCAACTTCTTTAGTGGTACACCAAAATGCCTGTACATATATCAAAAAAGTGTAACTTCAATTTGTTTTTAGGAACTGAAATAAATTGTCGTTAGAACTCAATAGGAATATTGTTAGCTTTGCATTTACATGTAAGAGCATCCTACAATTTAAAGATGAGATTTTTTTAATGAGCACTCAAAATGTCTGTACAGGTGTAAAAAATAAATAAAATGGTAAATAAGTTTTGACTGTAATTTGTAGTAACGGAGGCTTTGGACAAACAATTAGGAATAAAAATCAGTGATAATAATTTTGAATGACCTTTTGATGACTCATCCATCATTTTCAAATTCGCAAAACTAAAAGTCCGATTCTTATGAGTTCTTTATATACTAAGAATGCCTGTGAAAGTCTGCATCTGATTAAAAACTCTACAATGTGGAATGCAGAGAGTGTTAATTAAGAACTAAATAGTTATGCTTTGATTGAGTCAGATTGAGTGTTCCATTTACTTGCTTATTTTCTTGGATAAGGAGCATTTCATAAAATATTTCTAATTGAAATATATTTTAGTTTATTTTCTGCATGGGTTTTTTAAATTTCACTGTCCCTTTCTGAATTCGACAATAATATTGCAAAAATTTACTTTTTAAGGCAATGTTGAACAAAATGTCAGCTCTTTTTTGTTTTATGTCTGTACGCATGAAAATACAACAGGAATTACCAAACTTTTAATTCACAGAAACAGATTTTACCATAATTGAGTTTCAGTTAATTTTTCATGATGATTGCTATTGGGATAATTCCCCACTCTGATATAATGAATTGTATGGAAAATGTGATAAGCAAGCCACTTATTTGCAAATGAATGACACCCACACAACACACTGGTCAGTTCAATACTCTGTTTACATGTTTGCTAGTTACATGTGCGTCAAACTGGTATTGGAATACAATGTTAAAGATCTTCAAATTGCAACTTGATAAATGTAAAGATTGGTAATTGCTATTTCAGTTAGCTGCATATCCTGGGCTTTTTATATATCTTAACCACTAATTGAGTTATTGAGTGATTTTTTGATTAATTAAATGACTGGTTGATTGATTGATTGATTGATTGTTTGTTTGGTTGATTGATTGATTGATTGATTGATTGATTGATTGATTGACTGACTGATTGATTGATTGATTGACTCGGGAATTTCCCTGTACCTGTGATTAAAAAAGAGATCTTTGAAAAAGACAGAAACTATATAAAGCTTCTTCCCAATTTGTGCACATGTACCTAGGAAATGAAGAGAGAGTAATAAATTGGTATAATTACAAATGTTTACCTTGAGTAATCAAAGAATTTTTCATCTCAATCAACCCACAGTAATGTGTCGCCAATTTTGTTAAATTGGAATTTGGAAATATTGGTTTTTCAGGAGTGAGGGAAACCAGAGTACCTGGAGAAAAACCCTCGGGGGAAGGTGCACTGCGCCATCTCTGCTGCCAGTAATATCTCATATACCTTAATATATCTATAATTCAACTTATGAAAGTTCGTCATCCAAGACTTGCTTTCATCCACTGTCCTTGATCCCCAGTTGTCAGTCCTCAGTCCTATAATTGCTCCATGATCCTCTGTTCTGAGTCCTTGGTCCTCTGTCCTGGGTCCTCTGAGTTGGGTCCTCTGTCCTAGGTCCTCTGAATTGGGTCCTCTGTCCTGGGTCCTGGGTTCTGGGTCCTCTGTCCTGGGACCTCTGAGTTGGGTTCTCTGACCTGGGTCCTCTGTCCTGGGTTCTCTGTCATAGGTCCTCTGTCCTGGGTCCTCTGTCCTGGGTCCCTGGTCCTTGATCCTGTGATCCATGTCTCTAACAACTTGCCTGCCTGGGGGGGCACTGCCATATATGGGCTATATAGGTATGTGCCGCTGTGAAGGGTATGGTTTTCAAGCAGTTNGGAACAAGCATGAGGTTAGGTCTCCCCTTTTTCAGGAACGCTGGAAAGGTGCGAGGTGTTGTTCCTTTACCTGAAAGTTAAGTAAACATAATGTGAAGTTTATATCTACGTGTCAAACAATTTTTCATAGTCAAACAGGAAACAAATATGTGGCCCATACATAAAAACTATCGGTTGATCGCCCCGGGGGGGCACTGCCATATATGGGCTATATAGGTATGTGCCGCTGTGAAGGGTATGGTTTTCAAGCAGTTTACTCTAGGATAGGGTATATAAATTACAGCGTTTGGGTCTAGAATAGAGTATAATTTTTCACAAAACTGACTAGTTGGTTGAAGATTTCATCTAGACTAAGGAGACAAGTAATTGTCACTCAAAAATATAAAAAAATCAATTCGGCAAGTTTAAATTTAGGCAAATCGGCCTCAACAGTATCGATAGATGGGGGGATTTGGAGAGTTTACTCCAGTATATAGGGTAGCAAAATTCAGCTGAACTAGCTCTGGTATAGGCTAAGGGTTCCAGGGTCCCAGCGGCACACCCCCACCCAGAAATTCCCAAAGTACCCC